CAAATTTTTTATTTTGAATAGTATAATGAACATTTTCCTTCTGCAGCCTCTGAATGCTGGTGGGAGGGAAAGGTGAAGAAGCTGGCTTTCAGGAGGAAAAAAGAGAGGGTTGGTTCCTGTATATGCAGCCATGGCCTCTCCTACTGTCCAAGTATAAAAACAAAATGTGACAGAGAGGCTGCATGGGCCCCCTGGAGCATGGGGTGGGGTCGCTATCAATGTCCTGAGTCCCCTACAAGGCTGCTTTCACACTGATGAACTGAGGTTTACCCACATCACTTGTGCAACACAGTGCACTGAGGCTTTCCTGCGAGTTGCACTTTGCCGTAGACTTCTAATATACCTAGTGAGTGTGGTGCACTTTCTGAAAGCACATTAAAACTGCAGGATATAATAGAAGTCTATGATTTAGTGCAGGTAACCCGCAGGAAACCCCCTGGTGAACTGCACTGCAACCGCATATCAGTGTGAAAGCAGCCTAATAGTTGTTAACCTTTTATAGGTGATAATATGCCCATTGAAAATGCACAGTGCATGTGTTGCTTAATACAATCCTCTTCCAGCTTCTGCTGGCATCGCTCCTCAGGCTGCACCCAAGTGCACCTAGTATCACCCCACCTGGGTCAGGAGCTGGTGTTACAAAGGAAACATGAACTTATGTGGTTCCTGTTCCCTCTGTGGCCACCTGTTTCCTCTGCTGCTGGCACTGGCTCGATGCACTCTGATGCTCTGGGATGGTGGGTTGGCAAGCCCAGATTGCGATCCACAAGTTACCAACCCCGGGTATGCACTTCCACGGTTTAAGGTCAAGGGCCATATCAGAGGTTTCCAAGGGTGCGGCCTGCGGGCCACAGGTTGAGGACCCCTGAAAAGATAGTCCATGCTGCCTTTGAGTATGGAGAGCTGATGGGGAAGTGAGTATTACCTTGCTAATAGTTTTTTTGAAACAGTGACTAACCAAGGGCAGTGTTATACACCATATTATGTTGTCTACTGATCATTGTGGGCTTTATGCTATGGAGGTGTGTGGCTACTGTGATGAATTTAGGTGGGCATCTGATCTAGAGGAATAAGATAGGCTTGTTGGCCTGTTGGTCAGATTAGGCAGTGATGGATGTTGGTATGTGTGGGGGAATGCTTTAAGGCTTATATACAGTAAGTGAACATGACATGCTCACTTGGTTTACAAAGTATAATACACTTTTTTTTCCAATGGCATAACAATAGTGTGTTATTTACTGTACAATTCTAGTTGGTTTCCTGTTGTAGACCTCTATTTTTAAACTATCACCTTCAGGTTGCATTCTATTACCATGATCACAATGATACATATCAGCTTTTACTTTTTTCACATCTTATACCTATATTTTTTGAAAGACATTTGATTTGCAATGGAGGCCTACATGTACAGTATGTATGTGTATGTGTATCTGTTTACAATTCAGTTTGATGTAGTTTATAACCATAGGAACACTACCACACAAATCAATGCATGTAATATTAACATGTAAACTAACAAATATAGATCTTGTTCATCCATTTGACTTCAAATGTACCATAAGATAATGAAAGTAGTCGTCACATTTGAAGACTATTTAGACACATACTGCAGTGATTTTAATGCATGTTACCTGGGGTTGGTTTCATTCAACAAATCCTAACCACACAGTGCATTTGGCTGTGAACCTTAGTTCTAAAGCTGCCGTGAACCTGTAAACTATAGAAAAATCTTTTTTTTGAGTGAAATTCTTTTATTGTTATGTGAGTTACCGTTACATTGATGTCTCCTTAAATGCTGTCCTAGTGACTGCTGTCACTAGGAGAAGAAGCAGAAGTAATCTTTCCAATGGAAGACATACATAAGAGCAAGAACCTAGCAGAGGTTGTAACCCTTTCCCACTCAACATTTTTTTGTCTAGTTCTATATGCTCACTTTCTATCCCGTTGACCCTCCATCAGTGGGAAATGATCCTCAAGGGCACAAAGGCAGCTATATGAACCTGATATTTGTTCTCACCACTTTTATACCCAAAAAAACAAAATTTTAAATGTTTAAAGAGTAGTTTGAAGAATACTAAACATTAAGATTTTTTTATATTTGAAGGCATATCCATCAGCCTCATTCATCATATAGTAAATTCACAGCTACTTGGAATAATAAGCACCATAACAGTACTTCACTATGGTTCCTTTCTATACTGTACCATCTAGGTCAGCCAAACTCTTCTTAATAACCCTTCAATTCTGTTCACTGCAAGTCTGATAGGAAACAGAGCTGTTAGGTCTTTCTTTATTGTTCTGTTACTCTGATCCTAGTGTAAATTAGCAGAGAAACTTTAAAGTGTTTTTTCCACTTTTGCAGTCGAATTGGGATAAAACCTACATATATTTGTTATATGTTCTCATTCACATAGCATAAACTAATGTGTAATGTTAGAGAGGGGGTTTGGGGAGTTAGGGATAATAATGGAACCATTGTCTGTACTGTGCTGGCAGATATGATTATCAGTTTTGAGCTAGCTATGACCATTGTCTGTCCTAACCATGAGTTAAAGATCTTGGGGCTTTTGTTCTGTGAGAAGAAAAACTATCTGTCCCCAATATGTCTTTCTATTTTGCACTTTGAAATTGTTCAGAGTAGCTTGCAGCCTGCTCAAATGCCCAAAGAAGCAACTAGCAGAGTAAAAATATTTTTTTAAAAAAGCATATTTTTAGGTATGCTTTGTGAATGGGAACACATAAAAATATTGTGGGATTTTATCAAATTTGACAGCGATGTGGAAATATACATTAAGACATGGTATGAAGTAACCCCAATAAACTTCTCAGAAGCTCTTTTACAATCTGAAGTGAATTAAAGAGAGATACATTTCTTCTCTGAGGTATTCTAAATTGTCTGATAATGTATGATGAACAAAATGTATAATCCACCTGGGGTATGTTGCAAGTGGTTGCAGCTATAAACTATAATAGGTGGGCCACTACAGCAGGCAATTTACTTTATCCACTATTCCCAGTCATTATATACAGTGAAGGAAACAAGTATTTGATCCCCTGCTGATTTTGAATGTTTGCCCACTCACAAAGAAATGATCAGTCTAAAAATCGAATGGTAGGTGTATTGTAACACAGAGACAGAATAGCAACAAAAAATTCTAAAGAAATGCATGTCTAACAAATGATGCACTGATTTGCATGTTCATGAGGGAAATAAGTATTTGATCCCCTATCATTCAGCAAGATTTCTGGCTACCAGGTGTCTTTCATACATGGAACACGCTGAGATTAGAAGCAGTCTCTTAAAGGGAGTGCTGCTAATGTCATTTTGTTACCTGTATAAAAGACACCTGTCCACGGGAGCAATCAAACAATCCGATTCCAAACTCTCCACCATGGCAAAGACCAAAGAGCTGTCCAAGGATGTCAGGGACAAGATTGTAGACTTACACAAGGCTGGACTTGGCTACAAAACTATTGCCAAGCAGACAACAGTTGGTGCAATCATTCGCAAATGGAAGAAACACAAAACAACTATCAGTCTCCCTAGGTCTAGTGCACCAAGATCTCACCTCATGGAGTGCCAATGATCATGAGAACAGTGAGGAATCATCCCAAAACTACACGTTAGGATCTTGTCAATGATCTCCAGGCAGCTGGGACCACAGTCACCAAGAAAACAATTGGTAACACACTACGCCGACAAGGATTGAAATCCTGCAGTGCCTCCAAGGTCCCTCTGCTCAAGAAAGCACATGTCCAAGCCGTCTGAAGTTTGCCATTGAACATCTGAATGATGCAGAGGAGGACTGGTTGAAAGTGTTGTGGTCAGATGAGACCAAAATCGAGCTGTTTGGCACCAACTCAACTCGCTGTGTTTGAAGGAAGAGGAATGCTGCCTATAACGGGCAGCACAGTGGCTAAATGGGTAGCACTTCCGCCTAGCAGTACTAGGGTCATTGGTTCGAATCCCAGCCACAGCACCACCTGCCTGGATTTTACATGTTCTCCCTGTGCCTGCATGGGTTTCCTCCCACACTCCAAAGACATGCTGGTAGGTGAATTGGATCCTGTCTAAATTGGCCCTAATATGTGTATGTATGAATGTGAGTTAGGGACCTTAGATTGTACGCCCCTTGAGGGTTAGGGACTGATGTGAATGTACAATATATATGTGTAAAGCGCTGCACAAATTGACGGCGCTATATAAGTACCTGAAATAAATAAATAAATGACCCCAAGAACACCATCCCAACTGTCAAACATGGTGGTGGAAACATTTTTTTTTGTTTGTGTTTTCTGCTAAGGGGACAGGACAACTACACCGCATCAAAGGGACGATGGATGGGGCAATGTACCGTCAAATCTTGGGTGAGAACCTTCTTCCCTCAGCCAGGGCATTGAAAATGGGTCGTGGATGGGTATTCCAGCATGACAATGACCCAAAACACAAGTCCAAGGCAACAAAGGAGTGGCTCAAGAAGAAGCACATTAAGGTCCTGGAGTGGCCTAGCCAGTCTCCAGACCTTAATCCAATTGAAATTCTGTGGAGGGAGCTGAAAGTTCAAGTTGCCAAATGTCAGCCACATAACCTTAATGACTTGGAGAGGATCTGTCCAGAGGAGTGGGCCAAATCCCTCCTGAGATGTGTGCAAACCTTGTGGCCAACTACAGGAAACATATTACCTCTGTGAGTGCCAACAAGGGATTTACCACCAAGTACTAAGTCATGTTTTGTGAAGGGGATCAAATACTTATTTTCCTCATGAACATGCAAATCAGTGCATAATTTGTTAGATATGCATTTCTTTAGAATTTTTTGTTGCTATTCTGTCTCTCAGTGTTACAATACACCTACCATTCAATTTTTAGACTGATCATTTCTTTGTGAGTGGGCAAACATTCAAAATCAGCAGGGGATCAAATACTTATTTCCTTCACTGTACCTTCATATAACATTGTGTTTTTCGCAGATAAGAAGTGAAAGCAATGAAAACTCTCACCTACGACATATGATTTTGCTGTGTCTGTTGTTGCTGTTGTTGTTGCTGCTGTTGAATTAATATCTGTTGTTGTTGCTGCCTGCGCCTGGCAGTCCTCAGCTTCTCAAAACGAGCTTCCATCTCATCCAACACCTTGGGTGTGTATCGCACTACCAGTTTAACACTGTCTTTTGCAGCCTTCAGCAACTCCACTGCCTTCTCGTGATGTTCTCCTTCCACGCTCTGCATACATGAGAAGAAACACCTCAAATCATCACTCAGTTCAATTAACACTTTTTCTAGGTAGTGAGGAAAGAAATGTTGTGTGAAGTGTAAATTCCCCTGTAATAAATGTTCTACTGAAATCAGTTTCAGTATATCTTTACCTGTAAAGCTGGCAACACACACTAATCAAATGCATCAGAACCGGCCAAAATGTACTTCTTGGGTGGCCTCTTCAGCACCCTTTTGAAAAATTGAGAGTTCTGTAGAAAATTATCAGCCAAGCAATGCCTGCATCCAGCCAGAATCAGCCACTGTTCAGGCACTGTGGCACCCATCAGTTCTTCTTAACCCCTTCACGCCTAAGGGTAAAACAAATCTAAATGCCTAAGCACAATTCTGCAACGTTGACGTGTTAGTAAAACCGTACATATCATCACAACTACTTTGTACATCCAGGTGGATTATACCTTGTTTTTTTCAGGACAAATTGGGCTTTCATTTGGTGGTAAATGGTCATGGATAGCTCCTAATTTTTTTTTATTATTAAAGGAAAAACTGGGCCAAAATAGTAAAAAAAAATCATTTTTTTAAATTTAACTGTGTGTTTCTTGTTACGACCATAACCTACCACCAAAGAACAACTCAAAATACATTCTCCAGTTCTTGACGATCGCAGCGATACCATATATGTGTATGTATATTTGTTGTTTGTACCCGTAGTACAGTCCAGAAACAACAGTGCACATTTTGTTTTTGTCTTCTTTTTTTTATATAAAAACACACTGCCACTGACATTGACATTAACACTAACTGACACTGATACCAATTTTTTTTTAAAATCCTGACCTTTGACCCTGACCTTTGCCCTTGACCCTGACCTTTGACCCTGACCTTTGACCCTGACCTTGACCCAAACACTAACCCTGGTACTGAACTAGATCAAACCTTGATCTAGGTATTTTTCTTTATTTTTTCTTTTATTTTTTAATATTTTTTATCTTTTTTTTTTTTTTTTACAAACTTTTTTTTCTCTCTCTGTGTCAGGAGTTCGAGAGATACAATGTATCTCTCTTCTCCATTCATAGAGAGAGAGAAAACAAGGGGGCCGGGCTGCACAGTGATTGATCACTGTGATAGCCAATCAGAGGCTATCACAGCGATCACGTGACCCGGAATCGGGAGTCCCAGGTCCCGATCGTTAGAACGGGACCCGGGGCTCTCAGTGACACCGCGGTCTTGGTGCTGGGAGCGCGCCGAGCGGCGCGCTCCCAGCACAAAGACAGGTACGCAAATATGCGGCCCCACGGAAAAAAGCCCAGGTCCGTGAGGCCGCATATTTGTGTTACGTCGGCGTCAAGGGGTTAAACATTGAAGCAAATTTAGCAACACTTAATTTTTCCTGTTAAATATGTTCTTGTAATGTGTATGTTTACCACTTACAGGCAGGGCCGGTACTTCCATTAGGCAAACTAGGTGGCCGCCTAGGGCAAACTGCCACCTAGGAGTGCCTCGGGACAGCACAGACCAGTACTCTCTGTTTGTGTGGCACTGCCACATCATGAATGATCCTCCGGTGAAAAGAGGGGCAGAAAAGGGGGAGGAAGAAAGAGCAGAAGATGTTGGGTGTCTGGGGCCAGTGTAGCAGCTGTACTGCCACTCCTTCCAGTGTTCCTCTCAGACTCAGTCCCTCACTGCAAGCTGGCTGGCAGCTGCTGATCACTGTGGAGTTACAGCCCTTCTCTTTTCATTTATCAGCGGGAGCAAAGCTGCGCCTGTGAAAGAAGGTAATGTCTGATGTCTTGTGTCTATGTGAGTGTGACCCGACCGACCACACATCCATCACATGTGCAATGTGTCAGTGAGCGATGACATCATCACAATCCCACAGTCTGCTCTTCCAGTACCTGCTGGGCCTGCTGATCTGTGTCAGTGTTGGTGGCATGTTGTGTTGGATCTGTTACTGTGTGGCATCGCTCAATTCAGGTGTTCTCTCTGTGTGTGGACTGGGCTGCCTGCTGTCACAGTGTTTTATCTCCCCAATTGCCTGGGGAATTCCAGCGTGGGATCTGTGAGAATGTGTATTTATCATCCTCCACTCACTGCAACTGTCACCCAGCCACTGCCAGCCACTGATACAGTCCTTCCGTGACACTGATTTGTCTTTAACATTGGTACTGGTGGCATCTTATGGCACTTATTTATGCAAATTAAAAGAAACTTTGCAGTTTCATATTTAGTTAATTTAATATTTTCTACCAGTTTTATTTTTTTTTATTTGTTTATCTTTTTTTTTTGGGGGGGGCGCAAGTAGCTAGTCTTGCCTAGGGCGCAAAATAGTCTAGCACCGGCCCTGCTTACAGGTCATTATTACCTCTCACAGAAATTACACTACTCCCCTGACGATGTCTTTATCTATGTTTTTCTCCACAAAGAGGGAACCATCTTTGTTCAGGAACTATCCAAGGTCATCATCTACTTGTGGACTTGCTGGCTCCAGAGATGAAACAATTATGAAAATGCTGGTGCCTGCAAAGTTTTGCGCTGTGATCTCTCATGTTTTTGCAGAATGATTAGTCTCCTGCAGCAGCCATTTACCTTGTAACTTGCTATAAGGTTACAATGTTTCAGTCTGATCACCGGTGAAGGGTTGATAGGACCAGGGCTTTCCTTCTGCTTGCAGCAGACTAATGGGATCATCTCAGTCTACCAAAGTAACTTGACTGAAGCCCAAGGACTTCTTTTCAGCATTGAAAGGTTTAACTGTGTTGCTTTATGTTTTGACATGTTAGGAATTTGTACTGAGTTATTTGATGTAAATGTTTCTAGCTTAGAGATGTATCTGTAATTTTTTTGGTGCATATATATCCGACTTATTATTTCATCCCTATAGGAAGTGGAGCGTGGCACTTGTTTATTATATAAATTAGGCTTGAGGAATATGTGATATGCTATGTTGTGTTGCAAGCTCTACAAACAGTTTTTGGTGGTATTGGTTGGACATATTTTATATATTATTTTAGATCTGTGAACTTACTGAGAGGTCTACTTTAAGCCACATGAAGGGAAAAATATGGACGTGTCCTAATGGTTTGTATGAATGCTTGCATATACTTCTATCTAAAAATGTACCCAATGGCATCCAGCAAAGTGTTCATTACATCATTATTTAATTATTGGAAATTTTTAAACAGCCCTTGTTCTCCTGAATGGATGCTTTGAGTGGGCCCCTCATTAAGGAGAGTACTGATACCAGGAACAATGTGGATTTACCAGAAATGAGCTGCATCATTCAGTATCAGCAATTTCATAATGATATCATTAGCTTAAAAGTATGGGATATTCATAACTCACAATAAAATTTGTATGTTTCACTTCAAATTAACTAGATAAAGTATTACATGCAGACATGCAGAAAGACTGAATACGTAAAAACAGTCTTGTATGGGCATGGCTGATGTATGCTCTCCACAAACCTACCATTCCACTGCTAATGGCCACAAGTACACAAATAATATCATGTTAAAAAACAAAGTAAGTTAGCCATACCACTCCATTCACAGAAAGCAGCTGATCTCCCCTCTTCAGTCCTCCATGTCGCTCTGCTACCCCTCCTGGAATGATGCGAGAGATGTAAATTGGGGAATTCTGTTCCTTTCCCCCCATGACATTGAAACCAAGTCCTTCATCAGTTTTTGGCAGCTCCACAACACGAGGGTGAGAATGGCCTTCGCTAGCAGCAAATGCAGCAACTGTAGCCTGAAATAAAATAATTTGTATATAAATGACTCAGGTCTGGTTTTTATCTAAAGACTCTAATGAAATGACCTATTGGCTTTGATTCCAAATTTAGTATTATCAAAATATACAAAAGTAATGGTATTAGTGTGCTGAAGGAGAGGTTATAGGGTCAGTCCAACTAAACAAAATATTTCAGTGTACGGTGGAGAGTTAACCCCCCCACCACCATTGTATCATGCCTCATAAGAACTCCAGTGCTGAGGTCTCTATGCTTAAGTTCTTTAGGCGTACACATTTGTTGCAGTCATCGTAAGGGGCTCCCACTGTCTTATTGGACTTTTCAATTTAGTTTATTAATTGGAGAGTTGAACTGAAGGATATGGTCATGTGGGGAAAGAAAGCATGAAACTAGCAGAGAGAGATCTTTCTGCTTGAATTATTAAGTTATAAAACAAGCAGGTGGCCACCAGATTCCATTTATAAGCAAGGCATCACTTTTGGATAGACTAAAGCCTTTAAAGAACCTAAAGAGTAATGTAATTAGTGGCTTTTCACATTATATTTCTAGCATAGCTAGGAAAAAACTTGTATTCAGTCCTTTCTTAAAAAACATTCTATCCCTAAGGGGAATACATATGGTTGTGAAAACAGTGTGTGTTTTTTTAAATACTGCTCTGTTTTTTTTCTCTAATTTCTGCATCTTGGTGCAGACAGTTTACAAGAAGCAACCATGAAAGTCACATACAACAAGTAGTGCTAGAAAAAACCACCTGCATAGCTGGATCACTAGGTATTTTTTAATGAAAGCTGCTTATGAAAAATAATTGAAAACACCTTTTGAATTTACATTGACAAGTTAAATATTATATGATATTTTAGTAAGTGAGGTAAGATCCACTTTCTTGAGCGACACCAGTCAAACAATCCAGCAACTCTTGCATCTAACTTTACACAGTGATCTGTATTCAACAAAACCCTATGATGTAAATGTTATTAATTTCAACATGAAATCAAAATGTTGTTTAACGCAAAAACATTTGTCTTCAAAATGTAGAGACTTTAAACACTACAGAGCCTTGCACTGTACATACTAATAATCAGGTTATCTAAAAAAACTGAAGCTCCCTGTAGGGGGGTTGAGTTGTTTCTGAGAATACAGATGGTGTTAATGAAATGTTATTTTCAGGCAGGTGACATTCTTTCAGCGGTAAATTAAGTGGTGAAATCAGCATTTTACACAGGCAGGTGACATTTCTTTTTGTCAACAATGCGGTAAATTAAGTTTTATAAAATAGAAACAGAGTATCCATAAAAGACAATCAGCAACCGCAATAATTAGTATGAATAACTCCTATTATGTTATTTAAAATACTTTCATAAAATGTTCCTGAATGTGGACCAGTTACTTTACCTTTCTGATCAGAAGTCAGAATTCCAGAATGTTTTAATAAATTCAGAGATAATGTAATGGCACTTCACATTCTTTGTCTCTTGCTACTCAACCACACACATTTGAGGTGGATGGGGGAATCACTCTTGTTTGTGTTCTAAGGCAGAATCAATGATCAATAGTCTGATCCTTATCAACAGGCTGGTTGTAACAAGTTGGATAGATCGACTTGTATACAACAAGCTAGTCCATACATGGATCAGAATTTAGCCAACCTTGCTAAACTGGCTGAGTTTCGATCCCTATGGCTGACTTAAGAGTTAGTGAAATTTCTAGGCTTAAACAGCTGATTAGCTTGTGTTACATGTCACCACAGTTTAATCATTTTACTTTTCTTCATTCAAATTCACGCTAATTGCTAAGAATAGGAAGAAACCTTCATCTGACCACCAATGGTCTTGTCAGTATGTTATAACTGCAGAAACATGCAGCTTGTGCTCACAATTTCCAACAGTAGGATGTGTCCAATTCACTAAAAGCAGCAGAAGAAAGGGAAATGTTATATTTGCAAACTTGATTGATTTGCTTTAAAATTAAACAATCTAAGATGTTTTAAATGTACATTTATTCTTTAAGGCAGATCAATTGCTCATTTCCATTCAAATTTTTTTTTTAAACCACAGAACAAAATTAGACTACTTTGAATGAGCTCCTGTGTTGCTACTGTACGAGATTAACAAAGAAATGAGAAGATGTATGCAAAATGTAAGATAACAGAGTCTTTCCCAACAAAGGCAGTACTGCACCTGTTCCCTAGTAATTGAGTGAAATTTTCTGTGAAAAGAAAATCTAGACTTTTATTAAAATGCTTTTGAAAACTATAGAAAAAAAGTATGCCAGTGGGACTGTGGAAACTTACATTCAATGACGTTAAGATATAGTTTATTAATAGGCAAGGAACGTTCGTCCTGCATTCATGTTATTTAAGATAATTACAAATGTATCACTTTATAAATTGCCAATTATAGCTTTCAGTGTGGGATTTATAGTCAAGCTCTGTCGTACTCTATATTTCTTCACAGTCTTCCGATGCAAAAAGCTTTTTAACATTCATTTTTTATGATTATATTTTACTACTCAAAAAGGCAGAAATACTGGAATGTGCAGCCTGTTATTAAAATCCATTATAATTGTGTTCTTAGCATTACAACTGTCTTGGTTTTTTCAAAATATCTCTATACAGATTTGTCTTTGTGAACCAGAAACATATATTCATTTGAATAGTTCCGAGATCCCATGAGGGATCAATCTTGATGAAATATAGCAACCTCTACAACTGAAACTTAACTATACTGTTAACAGACTTCTACAATCGGTACCCTTTTCTAAAAACTTCATTGCCGCAAAATGTACTGTTAAAATCCTCATTGTGTCAGAATGTAATCCTTAGACCACTTTATTATTTAAAGGCTTATTTTAAGGCTTACTACAGTTCACTAAAACATATTATCCTTTCTTTTTATAGACTAACCTATTTTTTTTTCCAGAATCCTATCTGACAGTAGCACATGAACTTGTGGTCTGTCCATTCCCTTGTTGAAGTGGTTGTAAACCTCAGACATGAAACATGAACAAAACATATCCCTCTATAGTGTGTACTTGTCTCAGTTAAGAGTACTAATTTTCATTTTGTTCTGCTGCTTTATTCCTCTGCTATCAGCATGGATCACTTCTAATAAGTCTTCCTGACACCAAGGGAAAAAATGGTGACAGGGGAGGGACCTCCAGTTGATTGAGAGCCTCAGCTCTGTTCCTGTGTGGAGAGGCGTCCTTCCCTCCGATCAGTTGTCAGAGCTCTCCTTACTGAGCAATGCAGAGTGTAATTTCAGATCCCCGCCCCCTTTTCATGAATTTTCAGACGTGCTTTATATTTTCTTGATTTTGAACAAATGTAGAAAAGAGAATACTGCAGATAGACAGGTACAACTTATGTAGGAGGATGTGTTTAATCTGTTTATCACCTGAGGCCACTTCACTGAGTATATGTGAGGGTTTACAAATTAAATAAAATATATAAAGTCAGCGCTCCCTACTAGTGTAACAATAAGCAGTTTGCAAATACAGGTAAATATTCACGTGAACTCTAAAAAAGATTGCAGCAAAATAAGGTCACATTAATTGCTTTCCCACCGCCCTATAGCAGAAATACTGCTACAGGGTGGCAGGGGTGTGTATATATATATATACACACGTGATTTTGCACTTCCAGGTAGGGGGCATGCACAAGCTGTGCACACATGCCCTACCCGCCCGCTGTTGGCAGCCTCACCTGTCGATCACCAGGTCCCAGCCGGTGATTCCCTGCTAGCACCCAGCGATCACTGTGTGTTACGGACGGGGGAGAGACCTGTATGTAAACAATACAGATCTCTCCCCTGTCAGCTCCTGCACACTGTTTTGTATGGCTCTGCATAGCAGGGCTATACAAAGCAATGTGTTTACAGTGTAAAGCACACACACAGTTAACCCTTTGATCACCCCAGATGTTGACACCTTCCTCTCCAGTGTCATTAGTGCAATGTCAGTGCTTTTTATTAGCACTGATCACTTTATTGGTGTCACTGGGGATGTCAGTGACAGTCAGTTCCCCCCCAGTGTCAGAATGCCCGCTGCAGTCCCACTATAAGTCGCTGATTGCTGCCAGTACTAGAATATGAAAAAAAAATTCCAGTATCTATATAACCATTTGTAGACACTGTAACTTTCATGTAAACCAATTAATTTCCACGTATTGGGATTTTTTTAGCAAACACATGTAGCAGAATACATTTTAGCCTAAATTTATGATTAAATTAGATTTTCACTGGACACGTTTAATAGCAAAAAGTCAAAAATATAGTTTTTTTTTCTCAAAATTGGTGGTCTTTTTTTTTTATAGTGCAACAATAAAAAACGCAGAGGTGATCAAATACCACCATAACTTTGTCTCATACTGCAAAGGGGGGAGGAGAGGAGCAGTCCCCCAGGAGCCACACGAGCAGACAGGACTGCTGTTAGTAACCACGGGACCCCATACAGCCAACTTGACGGGGCCCCCCAAACCACAGGCCCCATATAGCCAACTTGACAAGCCCTCCCCCCCCATTCCCACAAGAAAACACAGTTTACTAGGCTTCAATTATGAATGAGCACAGTGATTGATTGGTACCAATCACTCATTGTGTTCATTTGGAAAAGGAAGGGGCTGGTAAATGTGACATATTTACCAGACCCTTCCACCACTCTCCATCCTGAAGGATCCTATTGTGAGGGAATGAGAGTAGGGAAGCTGGAAACATTACATGGGTAGGGGCAGCAGGGGTAAATGTATGTTGTACAGGGAGGGGGGGGCATTTACTCGAACTGTTTCCCTGTATGGCTCTCTCTGCAGCAGTTGAAAGCCAGCGGGAAGGAGAGGGAAGAAGCCAGCTTTCAGCTGTTGCAGAGAGAGCCATAGAGGGGATCGTTTCCAGTAATTGCCCCCCCTCCATGTGGATCACTCTCCCTGCCCACCTCCAATTCACCCAGCTGCCTGGGCCCCTCTGCTGGCCTGGGCCCCATACAGGAGGACTGGTGGTACCCCCTTATCCTGCGG